ATATATTCATCTATATATACAAAGTTATTTTGAACTTGAAGAACTTAGTATCATGATTCTGATAAAATGTAAAAATTAGAAAGACGCTATGATTAGTGGCTAACTATCCGTAATGATATTAAAGATATTATAGATACTTTTGGTTGGGTCAAACGCATGTATCGTTCTCGAAAAACTCTAGTTCATATTAGTTCACATTTAGCAAAAACCACTAGGTTATACAAACAGATTTTACACAGACGATGCCGGGCCATATATTTCTATCATAGTCAATACCAGTAGTAAGCTGCTTGAGGTCTTTACCAAACTATAACGATTTCCCATGAGTCATCTGCACCTTACCAGCCAGATACTAACAGAGCAAAAAGAACATTTATAGATTGCGAGAACAGTTAAAGGATACTTTGGGAATGCTTGAAAATCCTAATCTTGGTTTATAGGGTAAGTATAGCAATATTAAACAGAATGCTCTACCTTTATTTTAAAGGGAAGCGGAAAAGATAGCTTGAATCAAGTTCAGAATCATATATTGTATAATAATATATGATATATTAATATAATATATAATAATCATAATAGTAGTAAACTTAGAAAGCTACCAATAGCTTACCATTTTTAATTCAAATTTTCGTTACTCTTATTTTGTTTTACTTATTCGTTATCGAAAAAATTCAAACATAAAGCGCGATAAAGTTTAGTAATAAATGTTCAATTCGATGCTAATCAAGAATATATTACACTTCAGCAAACCTTTCCTTCTAACTGATCCCTTTGCTTAGTGATACCCCTTTCATCAACTGAATACGTTTTTATAGAATCATTATTTAGCGTTAGCGAATAAATAGCCTTATCTAGTCGCTAACCCATATCTCTGCTACTTAAAGTTTTACAGATTTAACAGAGCACGTACGTCAGTGTCGTATGGCCGGTGAGGTGCGCTTAACGATTAACTCAATTGCTAAAGCCCCATCGTTACTTAATTAAGCGTGCTAATACAAAAAAGCATAAGCAGGTTTTTAAGTTGGTCAGTTTTAGATGCATAGTGGAGAAATATCATAGGATGTTTTTTAATAGTATGCCCTATTGCATAAGCGGTTGTTTCACCAACGCAGATGAATTTTAATCAGTCATATAACTTAAATTGCATATGCATCGATATTTCTATATCGTTCTAGATATTTGTATATTAAGCGTCATGCTAAAGACACACACGTTTGAAGATTGGCTGCTTCATATGCTAAACTACGGACCTGGCGGCATCCGTGCCCAAAGCGACTTCGAACTCTAGAATTCAGGTGCAAAGAAAGGTTCCATACGGACATAACTAATGGTCGTAATCAGTTATGGAAGTTAATTCTAAACTAGATTCTTTACACCAATGTATAACAACACTTTATCTAACCTTGTTCAATGTGCATCTGAAATCTATTTTTAGAAGGTCCCATCTAGAATCATAATCACTGCGACTCTTTGGTTTAGACTTGCAGAAAAGCAATACAGCGAGATCAATCCACAAACATTTCAAATAATCAAAAAAAAATATTAATTCGTGCTCCGAGAGTTTCATTATCTTATCCTAAAAGCACAGTGGTTATTATTTTTAATCACTGCAGGGCAAGCTGTTATGTGTCAATGTCTACCTTTAGACTTTATACTTGATTTAGTGCGGCAAGCAATGAGCTAAAAGCTCGGCACCTAATGCCTTATTTTCCGACTGTCCTGAGCTTAGTTCATGCAGAACGCATTTTCCGCTTTCATTTTTAGTTTTTTCTGTAGGTCAAGTATTTCTGGAAATCCGTACTGAGTTATCATGTAGTGCTGCCCATACTCCGGGTTACTCAAACACTCGCGTGATCACAACAATTCGCTCTTACGTAAGGTCCTAAGGTCTACTCACTTCTTTCGGAGTTTTCGACCTCTTAATTTTCATTCTTAAAGCGATTGTACCAGTAATAAATCCCTACTTGGCCAAAGGCCACTGTTTTCACCAATATTGCGAGGGCTTAGCTCGGATAAACACTTGATGCAAGTACTAAGCAAGTTTCGTTTTCTATTTGTTATTTCATTTTCTTGACCCGTTAAATTATTCTAAATAAAATAATTGTAAATGTTTGCTCTTTTGTGTAGGAAAAGAGATCGGAGCCCTAGAAAGGGTAACACCTAGGCCAAATTTTGCTATAACAGCAGATGTGTTTTGGTTTGGCAACAAGCTACGCTTCTAACCTTTTAATGAAGTTGTATTTATATAGACCTGGCCATTGTTAAGCCTAATCGACAAGACTCAGTGGGTAATCAGCCAGTGAAGATAAAAAAACTCATTCAATACCGCTAAGTAAGCTCGAAAATCTGAAGAACAATGTCACCTGCGCCCTGTTCGCTGCTAAACTTCAAGCATTCGGAGCACCTTCCTTTTCTTATAAATTTTTATAAATAATAAATTTTTTTATAAATAATAAAATATGTGCAGCGCTCTTGCAGACATCTAGAATGGTACACTGGCTGTAAGTTTACCCTATTCAATTAATAGTTTGTGTTTGAATTTCTCCTCTTAGACAGCAGTTTCCTTTCCGATGTTGCTGTTTAGTGTTTCTGTAGATGATGCACTTATCAGAGGCCTTTAACGAAAACCAGTCAGCAAGTGAAGGTACGAGATCTTAATTTTCCAAAAACACGAGTGATAGTAATAATGAAGGGTGCATGGCAATAGCGACTAGCCAGGACTTCAGCCTCACTTGTGCAGTACCTCTTTAGAAACCCGTATAATGGCATCGCTATTGAAAATAAATAAATAAATTGTCGCTTTAGCAAAATGATCACGTAAGTGAAAACGGACCCATGCCGAACTTGCCAAAATTCGTATTCGATTACTAAACTGTGCGACATCATAATCAAAACCTCGCAATCATTCAACACGAATTGTGTTACGTTTTGCATGCTTTCACTTGTGATGGGTGGTACTGAATTAGGTTTGCCCTTAAGGCTCATCCGTCGAGACACTGTTGGCATAACTATAGCTCGGACCACAACAGTACAGTTGTGAACATTTGATTTTATTTTTAACACAGAATAATTACACTGCGAAAAATCAAACATAACCGGAAATCATTTATATAAAAAATTGATTTGAGACAAGCAGACAAGTGTCACTACCCAAATTTTGTAGCATATCGACAGTTAGCCGATAAAAGAAGTACGTTTTAGCGATACGTTCTGTGTGTAGGAGGAAATCGTTACATACGTAGACGACGTGTATTTTATTTATAATCATGTGACCACTACACATCTATAGCCATTTACCGAGTTAGATCATTGGATAAATATAATCAGCTTCAAAAGCAAGCACAGTTCAAAATTGGGGCAGGTATGCTACTCCGTGTATATGTATACGCATCGGAAACGTGGTCAGTTTCTTTCCATCATGAGGGCATAGTAGCGAATAAACGGGGACAAACTTAACGCAGTAACCGAGGCTCACGAACATATTGTTAATAAGGTTTATTCCATGGTCTGATCAGATTCCTCTAATAGCGTTACATAATCAATAGAGGGAATCGTATGAAAGTTTTGATTGATGATTTTGAATTATATCTTCTTGGGTTCAACGAACACGTCGAAGCAAGAAATAGTTAAGCAGCACGTAAGCTATAAAGCTTGTGAAGTCTAGGAGTTTCCTACACCCCCTTCGCGCTTATTGTTGTTGTCGGTAAGGCCAGTAATAAGTAAATACGGCATTATTTGCGAAGATCTTTTTCACGATGAATTAGATTTTGAAGTAATTGGTCGCGTTTTTCTTTTTTACTGATATAAATAACATTGCGTAAATGGAAAACATGCATATAGATTATTTTATGCTATCGAGGAAGTGTAAGTTTTTCCGCAGATATTGTGTGTACTATAGCATTTTGTCGTAGAGTCAAACATACTCGAACTCAATGGGACAATTTTTGAGGTTGTAAACACTTCGGTGCAAAACGCGTTCGTTATCGTATCTATGCAAGTTTGCCGTTTCTTCAGCGTACTAAAGTTGGCGTGTCACGGACTCGTTGCAGCTAGGATGGTTACTACTGAATCCCCGGAAAAACAACACTCTGCTTTCAGATACAACAAGGTGAACAATGGGAGCTTTATTCGGTCCGTAAGAGGTTCTATTTGCATGCAGTTCAATTGTCTCATTTCTATCACACTGACTTATTTCATTAAAATTTGATTAATTTCGTCTTTTTAAAAACTGATGCGAAATTTAATAAAAACATATTTGCCAGATTTTGAAAAAAACTGCTCGAAACACTACATTCCGATTGAATTGATATACTATATAATAGAAGAAAGACCAAAATCATATTTGAGCAGGCATTACACACATTAAAATCTTTATTTTACAAAATAAGCCGATTCCCCCTTAAACGCGTCATTTGTTAGTTGGGGGCGCACTTGTATGTACATTTTATACACAACGCTACATGTTCATTATAATCATCACCGCCGTCCTCGATCTCCATAATCATCATCATAGTTATTAGCAATATTGTCACATCTGCATCTTCCTACATGCCTGGTTTCGGTGTGTTAATTATGTGTGTCTCCGTTTGCATCGTTTTTCTTCTATAGTTGGGTGGTAATATCACTCGTTCATCTTTGCACTAATCCAATAAAAAAAAAAGAAGGTTCGGCTTCTGCTACGGTTTTTGTCTTGGTTCTGTAAAATAGTCCACAGTAAATAATTCACTGGAAAATTATACTTCGCATGATTGTAAATTCGTTAAGAAGTACACTGTACTCCTTATTTTATATAACAATTGTTGTGATGCACACCAGTGGCTACTAATATTACTAAAAATTGTTCCAAAACACGGAACGGATCAGCTTTTCGAAAGACAATTTGAATTATAACAGCCATACATCGATGCACACTAATGCGCATTGAAACGTATTATAAATAAAGTGATTTTTTAAGACTATGGTATTTTTTACGGTTGGCATTGCCCTCAGTTATTAGTGATTTTTACTGAAACTATATGCTGCTGTTGTGCTCGATCCTTTCGTATAACAAATGGAACAAAGGTATCGTTTCGCTTATTTAAATAGGAAGACTTGGAAGCTCTCAGCCATGTAAAGATGTGCAGCCTGCCAACTATAGCATACCACAGCCAGTTAACAACAAGTATAATTTCCAATACTGTCCTTGTCCTTTTCCTATGTGTCCTTAAGAACCGAAAATTTCAATTACTGTAATATTACAAGCCGTCAGCGATGCGTGTTTTCTAACCGAACTCATCATTACGATCTGTATAGTTTGTATTAAAATCGATTTTTCTCAATATTCTACCTATGATGCGATGTGCTCATGCCGAATTTTAATCTTTTGGGCTATTTTCAATAGTCTGTTGCCCTACGCTGTATCCTCTGATGTTTGCTACCTATGACGTTGCTTGTTATTAATGCTTTATTTAGCCTTGTATATTAAAGACGTTTCACATGACTTTCGCGTCTGCAATTCGGATTTCATAGCTGACGAACCACTGGCTAGTAAAATAAATGATTTATGACGCAAAACACAGCTTAGTCGACTTGAATGAGGTTTTTTCTATAATTTTTTAGGTTCGTTTCCCAACCTTCGCTGGGTTGGGATACGTACATACATTTTCTACATTTCTTCGAAAGATCTATTGTCATCAGTTAGGAGCTTTAGCCTATGCTCATAAATCCGTTAGTAGGAACCCGATTCTACAATATGAGGAATCGATGTGCGCGTTGGTAAAAGCTGAGACGCGGTTTCAGATTAGCAACATTTGATAGTCAGATGACAAAAATAGCTGGTTATTATTTTTATGGCACCGTGGAAACGTGAGCGAAATTCTAAAGACGTGAAGCACAGGATAAAAAAATGTCTAGACATATTATAGGATCATTCCATTCTAAAACCTATGACATTGTTGCTAAAGTGTAGGGTGACTTTGAGTACGTTTGTGGAAACACGCGTTGTTGCGCCGCTTTCAGCGGCGCAAGTTACAATTCACCCCTCCGATAGTTCCGTTTACCAAAGTCACAGTTAAATGTATCTCTGTCAAAAATATCTTGTCAGCGTTGACAAGATGAATAAATAAAAACCTTTGTTTCTTTAACTAGTTCGATCTCTCATGTTTTATGGCCAATACTTTTGAGTAGAGGTGTAAAATTTTTGTAAAAATCGCGCTTAATACATGATGCCTTTTTACTACCTCCTTCAATAGCGTCGATGCCTGTATTGCTGTTGGCTTGTCTAAGTCGTCTTTCGTTAGTCCTCTTTACCTCCTATTTACGTCAGGATCTCGCATAATCTGTGCGTTCGTCTGTCTGACTATATTTGTCTTTGTGTATTTGTGTGGATATTTCGCCGTGCGTCTTCGTTGTGTATGCACTATGTACGCGTTTTTCTAATAGGATGCGGTAATGAATTGTAATCTGTACACAGTTGAGCAGTCCGCCCTCTGGTCTCTAGGCCTCTCCTAGCGTTCTTTTTCTTAAAGATTGTTAGGATTATGCCGGTGTTAGTGACTGTTGGCTGTTACTACAATTGTATATTGCGCACGTATGGCGACCGGTTTGATACAGTTGACACCGGACGCATCTGCATCTTTACTTAGAAACCACCAGCCATTATCTTGTAGCTGCTAAATCTCTGACTGGCTGGTACGTTGCGAGTGGCCGCCACACTTCAGTTGATTAGGTGAAGATAGATTAGTGTTTATAGACTGATATCACGGCAAGTTGGTTCGTTGTCGAGACAAGTGATGTCGCTTTATCATGCATGTGGTTGTTATGGGGTCGCTGGACGATTCATAACTACCTCCATTTAATCACAAAGCCATTGACGTATTCACACAATGTATTGAAGTTCTTCTAGTGTTGCCTCGCTTCCTTTGTTACTGCCTTTGCGTTTGTCTACCCCTAACTAATGCTGCTGGTTGTGTAGCTGCGCAAGCGGTCCAGTTAGAATAATTATGGAACGCAATAATTGTAATTCTATCAATAGTAATGATAATTCTTATTGTTATCAATATCAATTGAGCCCAACGAGATGGGGCGGAAGCTGCGATCTTCACACATTCACTTTCATGTAGAATGGGTTCTACAGAAGGATGTAGCAGCAAACATTGTCATAGCTAATAGAACTGTTGTTGCAACAGCATCGGCTGTTGCGATTGGCTTTGCTTTGTCGTCATTTCTTTATATTATGTTAAATTGACTGCTCATTAGGAGGTAGCTCTCGTGTATTCGCTCACGGTCGGTTACCGGCAACACTTTCCCATATAAACAAACTCTGCATTGATCGAGCTGTCGTTTTCGTTGACCCTCATCCTCGGACGCAGCCGCTTCCATCGGTGCGCCGATTAGCCGCCAGCGCGAATACCTCTTCCCAGATATTCTGCTTCTGAATATAACCCCCAATGCTGACAGAGAGATTACCTCGTTTTCCTGTTGCCCTGCCCTACTACTTACTATTGCTGCGTTTGTTTATTTAACCAGTAGCACAGATAGCCAGGGGACAAGTTATGATACAATCATTCATTCGCTTGCACCGATTGAGAGCTCGCTCACTTACCTGACTTTCAATTTGTTCACACCATTATCCTATCATGTGCTCAGCAGAAAATCGTTTGCTTTTTTGGTTTCTCTTTTTTCTTCCTATTCTTGTTGTTATTACCTTCGTTGCTCTCTTTTGTGTCCACAAAAATCCACAAATCCGCCACTCAGTCCAGGTTTTCCTTATTATTCCATTTTCCGGACTCGTTTGTTCCTACTATCTGCATTGTTTGCGATTTTTTTTTATCTACATCTGTCGTTTTTGCTCACTTTGTTACTGCGCGCTTGCTCAGCCTTCATACAGCGCGAGTTATATTTTCAGGACCCCTCAGGCATTTTGTGCGCTGGACAACGTCCAACTAATCTCATACGTGTGTAGCAAGCTGACCATTTTTGAAACCTTGACCTACCACTGTATGACCATTTTGCGTTGCCGTGATGTATCTGTAATATGAAAAGAACAGTTATCGAACAAACGTATAGAAGAGGTACAATCATAAAGCTAGGCTTCTCTTTAAGGGGAATAAAATGAAAAAGCAGGAACTAGATCGTCTCTACACATACAGGTATAACAAGGTGCTAATGTAACTTAGGATTCATCAAATTTGTAGCGAAATATAGGTTTCAATGGCATGCATATAAACACGTACGAATTTCTCGGTTTGAGCGCATGCGACCTTGATCTACCTTATGCGTGAGTCGCTGCTGGAATCTAGAAGTTGGCGATGTGTATTGTAAACGTTGGTAGACCTGATTTGAAGTATGCTCTGAAGCTTACCTCTGAGGGGAGATAGGATCGTTCGAGTTAGGAGATCCAGAAGATGGCGTGTTCTTGCTTCGAAACGGAACAGTTCCTCCTACCGATGTATGGGGTGATACCGCCATTGCGTGGATTCTCAAACTAAGCGGTAGCGTACCGTTTCGAGGAAGAGTGCCGCATTCAGAGGGGCTAGTAACAGCTCTGCGAAGACAAATGAAAAAGAGGAGTTTGGTTAATATGAAAAATATTTTTACATCATTAGCGTAACAAGGCAGTATCATATTTAAGCCATGTAAATATAATCAATTTAATAGTGAAAACCATCGCGCTAGTACGTATCCGAATAGTAAATATGCCTAGATAGTTTCCGCCTGTAGACGCGATGCTTCGCTCACAATATGGTAGTTTATAATTGCGCACTAATCTCAGAGAGATTCAACAGCCGTCTCAAACGAACCGTAGCTGCGTACGATTCTGTGTGACAGGATTCATTTGTACTATGCTACACGAAGCAATACGTATAGGCTCGTACGTTTCACTGCAAAACGACTTAACTTTATTTAAGTTAGAATAAAAAATACTTACGCGAAATAAATAATTAAGGTAATCCATTCTACTTGTGCTAGAACTATTTGATATGCTAGTGTTTTTGAACTGTGTTTTTGAGCGAAACTTGCAAAGAGCTCTGGCCTTGAATGAAAGGGTTACGTTAGATCCGTCTTCACGAAAAGGCCTAGACTTACTATTTTTTTGTTCAACAGCTAAATGTTGAGACCTTTTGTCGTGAATGTTCAGACACAAGTCATTAAATGGAACCAAAAATAAAAATGATTTGGGTTTTACACGCATCACGTTTACCTTTTGCTAGCCCATTATCAGAAATCTAATCTAACGGTTTCTTCCGAAACGTTTTCTTTTTGTCATATTGTCAAGTACCTCAAGAGTATTTTGCCCGAGAAATTCTCATAACCCATATAAGATTATCATTGTAACTTGTGTTAAGTTCGTTTCTTTTAAATGAAGTGATGCAACTGCAACCATATCTAACTGTGTTTGTGTTCGTCGAACCCGTTGTTTGCCTCACAGAAATAGAGAGGTGAAAAGTCAATTGGCAGTTTATGCTACGCTTCTTCGTCGAGACTCCGCGCCTGGTAATAATATTTAGAGGATAGGTTAGGCAAGCAGCGGAACATTGTTTCGTTATACTCCAATTTCTTTTAGCTATTTCTGAATTTGTGTATTAGGTTGGCTCAACTTTCGTTCACTGCTGCTTACTCCGTGATTCTGGTCAGCGTAAATTTCTATTAACTGTTGATTTTACACGCTTCCGCGCGTAAATTTGAAATGAAAGCAGGTTTCGTAAAGGCCCTTAAAGAACCAAACTAACTCGTTACAGCTCATACAAACTTCACTCTGTACGAAAAGACCCAATGCATGGATGTATTATACACGTACATTGAATCATTCGAGAGGAGAATAATCTGCGGCCAGTGGTTGCTATTTTCTTTTTTTTCGAGCGACACTGTTATTTATTTACGCGTTAACACTAAAGTAAACCATTGTACCACTGATACGAATGTGAATACGAACGGTGAAGCGCGGCGCCGCCGCCGCCGCCGCCGCTGATTATACCTTTACACCAACGCTTGCTTTTTACTGGATGTTTGTCTAAGGCATATACTATTTGTGTATTTCCTGCATAGCCAACTCCCACACCGGGTTAGACCGGGAGGGTCAAGAAAACGGGGAGAGGGACGTTTCTGGGACGAAAGGCTTTCCCTTAACTAGACCAACGGAAAGGTAAGAGACTTCTCGGCTTGGCTTGGCCTGACAACAGTCAGCCATTCTATAGAAAGCTCTGCCGACGATAATAGTTTAGAATTGAAGAGAACCAGGTCAGCGAGGTGACTGGGGGCAACGGAGTTGGATGACGACAACATATGTCGTCTGTAGTGGATGAGGTCGGGGCTAAAGCTATGTTTCCGATAACTGGATGTTGTCTCCAGGATACAGGTAATCTATGACTCGCACGTTTCGTTCGGACGTACGTAACGCCGACACCCGCCTCTCTTACCAACTTGACGGCTGCTTCCCACTTTATTGGTTCGATGAAGCCTCCGCTTTCATTGGAAAAAGCCGGAGCCATCCAAAAAGACAAAGCGACAAATAAAGGAACGTCGAGGATAGTGGGGTGTCTCGGGAGAAGAAGCAAAGACGTCACGCTAGCGTGTCAGCCTGGCAGGCCCACTGGGCTTTCAAGAAAATAATTTTCTGTGGCTTGCTAGAAAAACTGTCGATTTTGCGTCTATGTTCTGGAGCATTCCTGATTCGGCATTTGAAAGCATCGTCTATTATACGTCATGTTGGCCATATGCAGAGAAGTCGTATTAATTGCCTCTTGTCTACTATGGTGCTAGAGTAAGTTCATTATCTGGTTAAATAGTAGGCCGATGCGCGCTGCCAGCTCAAGTTTATCGTGTACGTTATAGCCAGTTGACTCGTTGTACATTTGGAAGGTATTTTAGAATCGATCTACTCAAGTGGCGCCACACACTCATTACAATAATTCGAGTACTTAATTATGACTCGAAGTGCAGCACGGAGAGACATTTAAATGTAATGAGTTACCGAAATAGCGTCAATCGTAGGTGTACAGCCATCTCAAATACATACGGGTGGACAGTTTTAGATAACTGTGCAGGAGCATTTGTGGGATACTCGGCTGGGTACACGTGTTGGAAGAACGCTAGCAGTTTATTGCAGACGGTCGTTCTGTTCAGGCTAAACTCGGTTTAAAACGCTATTATGGAATTGCCACAAGAAGTTTTGCAGATAAATTGGATGAATGCGCGTTGCATAAGATACCTGATAATGCCGCCCGTCAAACTAAAACAATAAACATTGATAGTTTCAGCGTATTCACTCTCTGTTTTCAAATCTTCACCCGTAAGATATATGCAACGGCTAAACGTTAGCTTGAATTAGGCAGAGGCTTAACATAAGAAGTATATTTCCAGTAGTAAAAAATGGTGCCCATCCATCAGTATCTGTTTATGACCGGATTTACTGTATTATGTTTCGCGTATTTTGTGACGGCCGTGGTTATCCATATGATATTTAAAAGACCCCCTAGCTTAACTGAGAATTGTTACTTTGATGTGTCATAGTTGACGAAAATATTCGGTCCAACTACAGTGTCAGACCTCCTTACAGAACAAGGAGACACTAGAAGTTTTCATCAAAAAGTAAGCTGCTGATTGAAGGGATTCTATGCCATCACTCTATGCAGTCCGAACAATTGCATCTGTTGCAATAGTGTGAACAAATGCAGTCTTAGTAAGTTGCAGGTCAAACAAGTTGCAAGTGAAGAGCGAAGTCGATTACGCAGCTCCATCTGGGTGCCATCGTCAGCAGGACCAGGAAGCCTACAATGGCGTTTTTTCGCGGAAAAAAAGGGCTTCGACATGAAGCCTAAGCGCGTGCCACCTGGACAATGCAATATTTACTTTCTAAAAGCTTTTTGCCTTCTTTAAAAATCAGTGTTAAAGGGGAACCAAGAGTATCGATCGTTGGGAATACGACCACCGCCGACACACTCGACGGAGGATATGCGAAGCCTTTCCATCACACAAATCTTCATTGCACAAATATATTACAATATTTCAAACGTACGAAGCCATGGAATAGTGGCGTGAGCTGCATTGACAAAATAGCTTTTTCTTTCATGTTTTACCAACTCAGGGCACAGTAGCTCGGACGGAGGCGTTTTATGAATGAAAAGCCGCAATTTACTGGATGGAATACACTAATGCTCGACACGGGTACTGATGTTGTCACCAATTTCGATTCAAAACATAAATATCAATTTAGATAAGATTCACACTCCTCCTGCTACCTATTTCTGGTCCTGTGTTCGCATCGAACCTATAGTAGCTAGGTAATGCTAGATGATCGCGCCCTACCCCCATACACAACGTATCATAGCATGTATCAACAATAATAAAACAAAGTATCATCTTTGAAAGCAGACGGCAAACACATAACGTGGCGACAATTCCTACTACCAGTCCCTGCCCGTCACCGAACTTTCGAAAAGAAGGATTTCCCATTCCAACAGATATAACTCATAGCATAGCATATATGGTTAGTGGACGACGATTCAGCCTAGTTCTGCACCAGCATTCGGGATTGCCTCTAAGTCAGTGTTGAGGTTGACATATTGCACACAAACGTATGCAATCTCCGATTTTGACCTCTTCGTCTTCAATCTTTTCTTGTTTATCGTCGTTTTTGGTTAGAAAGAAGGTGACTTTTGGTCTCTACCGCTAGAGCCGTGCCATGCAGATTGACTGATCACATAGAATTTGATCCATTAAGTGCTGATTCGACAAATATGATGAATTCTTAAGAGTCAGCGTCTAACGAGATAACGACGCGAGTTTGATGAGTCGCAAAACATTTTTATCAGGACATGCGTTGTCGAAAATGAAGGCCCACCTGCAGTGCTCCATTCCTTCTAGAGCTCGTGTTATTAAAAGACGCGGCGATTTTATAATTGATTTGAAACGCTAGCCAGGCCAACGAAGCAGCTCTTTTAGATTAGTATGTAGATATGTATATATTTCACGCTAGAAATCATTTAACTTAAACAGGCATGACACAAGTCGGTGTTTCCTGGAAGTAAGTCACAAGATGAATGACTTTTATCATCGAATAAAAGATAAATAGAGTACTCTGTTTAAAACAACGGCACAAGTGTTGATCGTTTGTTTGATTTAAAAATCATTGTAAACGCAAGGCCACGTGCGTCTGCGAAATCGAAAGCTGCTTGTGCCGTCACTTTTTAAATTTATAATTTTACACATGATAAGTTAAATTCTTGATAATAACTAAAAATAATAGTACGTCATCCACAGGTCGGATCAATATGGCGAGGCCCATTTTGTCTGCGTTCCTCTTCTGCTGCCCCAAACGTGTATCTTCGCGAACTATTTCCAGACATTTTTTAACTATTTGCGAACCGAGCTCCGGTGTTGCCTCTAGCTGTCTTGAATACAATTGATCAACAGCTGAGTCCTTCGACACTGCCGGATCTGCTGTAGTCGCGCATCGTCGCAAACATTTCTCTGTCGCTTAAGAACTGAGACACAGACGGATACTTAGTGTTTTTTTTACAATAATAATAATTTGTGATTATTATTACTCACCCGGAAAGGTCGTTAAGGGCGTACTGTGGTAGAATCAGCGCGGCGTTGGTGGCATTCGACCCGCCGTTGTAGAGCGTGCCATTGGCTACAAGGGAGCCACCTGCTGGGGAAGGTGACATCCCTCCATGAAGTGCTGGGCCTCCAACGAGCAGATTGAAATCCCCAGCGCCTGGATTGTTTCCCAGACTGTCACCGTACGACAACTGGTAACTCCCGACCCCGACGGCGCAACCTCCATTGCTACCGACGATGGTTCCGTTGTTATTTTGTGGATTAGTGCCTGCCTGTAAAGGAAAAGATGAACAAAAGTGCATTAATAAGGTTTAGATACTATAGTAGGCTAGAAAACAAGAGGTGAAACATTGTTGTCGTAATTATTATTATAATTTTTAATATTATTGTTTTTAAAAGGGAAATGCCACCCGATGAATAGAGAGCTTGAGTGTCGGCAACTGTTAAGTCGACAAAGGGCCACAGAGTTTATACCGTAATAAAAATATGTTACGTTTATAATAATGATAATTTTGCTAGCGTATTAAACGCTAGCCTTGTTTTTACGATACTGAGAGCTGTCAGTTGAATGGACCACGTTTTCTCTGGCTGCTTTTAAAAAAGATAATAAATAGATTTCACCTCTCGCATACTGTTTCCAAGGGATATATGTATGACAAACAATATCTTTACATTTTTCGTTTGAAAGATCATCTCTTAGACGCCTCATTTGATTCACTTTTTTTTTACAGATTTACCTAAGTTTATAGGAGCTAGTGCTGCTTGTAATTGCCGTATAACTTAAGCTGATGTTCAAGTAAAGAGCCATTGGGAATATATAGGGGTCGTGAGTAAATCGTCGACCGAGGCGGCCTCATAAAGGGTAAAGGCTTCCTGTATGTGTAGGCATATATGATCTATTCGCACATATATGGCCTCAACAGTTAGTCAAAACGAGACGAGTACGTAGCTGTGTCCGCACCTCCTTATGTAGTAAAGGGTGCATACGATGCGACTACTACGGCTGAAGAACAGCTGCTTCTACTTTGGGTAGTCGAAGTCCGGCTGTACTTAATTCACTCCTTGCTTATCTCTAAACAGTACAAACAGAAGTTTCGCCCTGACTTTGTCGTTAACGTTAGCTGCGTCAGTCAGAATTGGTCTGCCCTACGCTAAGGATTAACGATGAAGGTGATTCTGAAGCAGATAGTATAACCAATATTCAAGGTTGCTTTCGGGTGCGTCTACTTCGCTTGCAGTTTAAGTAACAATAACTGAAACTACTTGTACAGATAATAACATGCAAACAATGTACGTTTCAGCTTTTGCGAAACTGCATCAGATTTCCTCGCAAGCGACATTTTCCACCTAGAAATCATTGCTTGTATTTGTGTTTGTTCACATCCATTAATGCATAAGGACAGCATAAAACTCCATAAACAATGACAGCTGCGGCTAGGTCGTCTGCTGATAACACTTAGATCCTTGGTGAATTAAGTGACTTTTAAACGAGTGGGTAGTTTATTTATTTTTATATTAGTGTGGTTTGAGTGACGTGCAACCGGAATTTTGACAAAATGTAAACCAAAAGGGCTTGCTTAATCAGTGATGCTAACTTTAATACATTTCATTTACTGTAGACAATTGGTACAATTCGAAATGCTTAACTCACTGTGGTTATGGGCCCCTTTTAGGTTACGAGTTTAACTACTGGACTACCTTCAAGCTGGGGGTTTCGTCTCACTGGCAAGATTAAAGTAGGCACCCATCCAGTTATTCCGGATCTGGTAATCAATTGTCGGAATCGTTTACTAATTTCACTGAATATTGAGACACGTGTCCAAGCTTGTTCTGGTTATGTAATAATAACAGCTTTCATGGTTCATGGTCGCTCTTAATATAATTACGATCTACGACAACTAGTCTATTGGTGCCCGGTGGTGGCGGGCAGCCCAGAGTGGCAGAAGTATATTCATGTGCTTCACTTGTAATTTAATGCATTTCCAATGTACAGAGGTTTGCACGGCAGGTCGATCGTCTCCAATCGTTTAAATAATTTAAAACAAACATAGGCTCAGCACTTTGCATCTGGCCATGTCCTCATTGCCTGGCGATGATCCCTAAATACGTGACACGTGAGCGTAGTTTGTAGCGGAATGTACGATCTAATAAACAGCTGGCTATCGTGTTTTTTTGTCGAGTTGGAACAGAAGAAACGGGAGGAAAATATGGCGACAGAACACAACATCGGAACGATGAAAGAATGCCAGTGCGGTTTAATGACTCGTCCTGCTAAGACGTGCGTATGATATATCGAATTTGTTATTATATTCTCGGTTGGCCTCCGGTTTGTGTCGAGGGCTAGCCTTTTTCAAGAGGCCCTTGGATACTACGGCCAAGATTGGCTTCGATAATGGTAAAAAAATAATAAAAAAAAAAATAAACACACGAAACAACGTTAGTTGTTTGCTATTTCTATTAAAAAAAAAATAGTCAATTACAAGTTGTAGATTGTTTCTAATGTTTTTTGACATTCTGAATTAAATAAATGTTATATGGTGAGCGGCATCATACTTGGTACTGGGAGGATATTTTAATCAGCGTCCACTGCCGTGGCAAGAAATAAACTATTGGGCTTCAAAAACTTGTTGGACTATTATAAAAGTTACTCACATATCCCGAATGTAGTTAGTTTTAAGTGGTAGGCACCTAGTTTTCTAATGCATATTACCACAATTATCTGTCCTTATAAAGATTTTCCTGTTAATTTTCCCTCTTGTTAATTTTTTTTTAATACTATTTAGGTTCAAATTATAGAAAATGTATACTTCTTTTGGACTCTGCCATTCTAACGATTAACAAACCTTATCTTAAACATTTAACTCTATATGGCCTTTATGTCACACGCATCCAATAGAACTTGTGAAAAATACGACCGTTTTCGTATCTATTAACATCATGGCTTATACAACTTAGAGACCCGCGAAGCGGTCTGGGTTCGAAACCGAGCGTGGACACGCTTTGTTTCGTGTTGGATAAAGCCAACGGTCTGAAGAAACGTCCCACGTCAGTAATAGTAAACGTGAAATTTGGAACGTTCGATATACACGTACGTATATTGGTGGCCAACAGCGTCCCAACATGAGTAAAGAAATCTATCGGTCGAGCCGTTCGAAGGCACCGAGTTGGAGCGAAGTCTTCGCCCACACCCTGTAATATCCCATGGCATCCGAGCAAGCAGCGACGCGGCCATGTATAGTGGACTATCTAGCTAAAGGATGCGGATTGTGCGATCGTGCAACGAAATGGCTCTTCGAAGCAATACAAGCATCGAAACAAGGAAAACTTCCAGAACGGTATAAACCCGTGTGGCTAGTTGGTTGGGCCCGAACGAGAGCAGCCACCGTCCTCGGTCTCGTCAGGACAAAAGCGGAACCTGCAATTCCTTGTCATTCAGTGTAGTTGCACTGCACGATCGAATTCTGCCCTCTCATACAACAACAACAACTGCCACAGCAGTTGCAGCAGCACCACCCCCAGCCGTGCAGCCGCGGCGGTGGTAATTGAGTTTTTTGCAGCAGCAACAGCAGCAGCGAGTCGCGAACAAACGACCAAGGAACTAACAACTGGAACTAAGACATACACGAACTGGACGACGGGTCGAGCGAGCAGATCCGAACGGGCCATGCCGAACAGACGACGATCGAGGCTGCGAGACCAGCAGCATGGAAGTGCCGAACGGGGATGCCCAAGTAAGGTCACCTCCATTGCTCTGCTTTGAAGCGTCGACTGGATGGAAACTCTCCGACGCGGCAAGGTGGGCGAAACCGGGGACCGAAAAAAGAGGGGTGTGAAAAATTGTTTGTCCTTTCTTGACCTGGGAAACCATCCCAAAAGAGGACCATACCTTTCTCTTCCGTTTCATCCACTACCGCCATCCGACAAACATTCTTTGCTTCATGTCCCAGCCCTGCGTCTCATAGTTACCCCCCATCCTCTTTCCGCCCCCATACAAGCTGTCCCTCTGCCGTCAGCGCAAACCAAAATGCCGCTAACAACATCCATAGCGTGACCCTTGACAGGCAGTAGAGAGCACGCACCAATTGATCGCCTAAGAGAAATGAGTTGCGGGTGAGGTCTGAAGCGAGCTGACCAAGTTAGAAAGCTTGCGCACAAACGAGATTGTTGTTTCGGGCAGAAGCCCCTTGACCGGCCGTTCGACAATGGGGCAAATGCGCGATACACGACAGGTCAGTCGTCAAAGTCGTAAGAGACGCAAGACCTGCTTTGCCGATAAGAGTACTCGGCTGAGGAAGTACAATAATGGTGATAGCGAAGCCAACGCATCGCCTAAAGTCTGGCAAGGCAGTCGTCGAGCGTCTGCGCATACCTACGTAATTGTTGATCATTTCTGTTCTATTATTTGTCGTCTGCCTTCAGCTATAGCAACGATGTACTGACACATCTAATGAATAAATGTTTCGAGCTTTACGTCAAGGCCTGCATTAGAGTTACATCGGACGGCTTAGTTCCAGCACATGCAGTATCCTTTTATCGCTCCAAATGTAACAAATCGGTAGGCTATGAGACGCTTATATACAAAATCAAGCACAAATATTCAAAGAGATGTTGTCGGTTCCCCCAGAATTAGCCAGTACGCAAAAAAAAAGATCTCAGTTCATTACTGCGCTTCTTTTGTATTATGTAGCTGTGTCTGTAGACTGAAGTAATCCACTGATCGTCCTTCACTCGCAGATCATACGCATTGAATGAGCTCCCCTCGATCAAATCTGGCTGATATTGCTTTTCCCTTAGGTTGGATCTTACGTTGCACGGACCGTGCGCAGTTGTGCAAATCTAAGGTGACGTTCGAGGCAAAAGATGACCGCGACACTTTCGTTCTTTCGTCCCGTATCTATCTCCACTTCTTTTTGCCCATTGCCCCAACTTTCCATCATAACCACGATAACGACGACGCCAGTAACAACAACCTTACGCAACCAATAACAACGGATGTCTGTGATCCGATATTCGCCCTTTTCTATCTGGTGTCGTCTGACGGTGTTACCAGAAAGCTATTCCCTTAAGAAAGACCAATTCGAGAGCTGCATGTGCTATGGTTAAATGACGGCACATTAGTTACATTGTGTTCTCGCGTGCAGATTTTGAATGAGCGAAAGTTTAGGCAGCTGATTCTCGGAACGTCGTTATGTTATCGTAACGATTGAAGTCAATCACCCAAAGTGATCAAAACACGCCATAAAGGCGATTCCGACAGTAACGCCATGGGATGCGGTAGTTTCATCAGCTTAGAAAAGCGGTCTACGTTCGACTATTAGACGTATGTGTAAGTTTTGACAGTCGAATCTTCTTGGGCAGTGCTTTTTCGAAGAAAAATTTCACTAAGTTGGTAAGTAAAGTTCTAGAAACTGGTCGAGTTGGTTGACAAGCGAGTTAAACAATATTCTGCATCGTACTATATTCTGTCACTCTATAATATTATTTTGTTTACTTTGTACAATATACGTGTCTGCCTTCATTGTTTTTTCGGTCTCATTTCCAAACGCTGCATGGCAAAATTTTTTTTATAGTAGATGCTCAGCTGCATGCCCAGCGGCAGGCCGTGTTACCTCGTGTAAAATTGCTTCAAAGGCCTGTGAGCGTAGGAAAGCCAATACGAGCAATCTGAAAGCACCAAATCTTTGAAAGCTATTAGTTGGTAGAAGAATATATTACTTTTATTGTCATCGTTATTGCTGGATCTTTTTTACTCAACTGTCAGAGTGCACTTAGACCACCTTACATATCCATTAGTAGGCAAATACATCGCCAAAACATGTCATAATTAGTAACTTATCATTCCAAAGGGGCATTCTCTGATGTTGTTGCACTGCTGGGATGCGCGGTCCTGTTAATAAAGACACAAGAAAGACAGAGTGAGAAAGAAAAAGGCGTATACGTGCCAAAGCAACAGAGGAAGAAGCACGACTGCCCGACAACTCCGAGTTCCCACTGTTCATCACATCGTTTTCGTGTTCTCCCGCGTTCGCCTAGCTAAGAACCCCAGTGACAGCCAGAGCAAATAAACACGCTCGCAGCGATATTTATCGGTGCCGTCAGCGGAAGTGACGGTACCGGCCAGGCGGTCGCTGCTATTGCTGCCGCGAGAAATACAGCGTCAGATTAGCGACAAGTTGGCTTTCGGGGGCAGTATCATTGTCGAAAACAAGTGAGACGGAGACTGCATCGAGAACAGAGAGGGAAAGTATGGAGGCTGCGTCAATGATAACGATGCAATAACGTCTTCTCCGTCACGTCTTGTCCATATCAGCACGCGGGCTCGTTTGGTTCTTCTCCGGCTCTTCTTGCTGCTGCTGTTACTGTCCTCCTTAACGCGTCACTCTTCGCTGTCTATTGCCTGGATTGTCCTTATTCGTCCGGCTTCGTCCCGCATAGTCCTGGGTACCGAGCGTTGTCTGCCGCTTTGTGTAAATTCATGTAGTGCGCGCTCTGGTGTCCTTTCCGAATCTACAAGGCTGTCTACCCCCTTCGAGTGTGATTGTCATTTATTGGTTCTTCACGGGTATCATTTTCATTGCACCGAACCAACATCGGACTAGTGCCTTCTAGCAGACTGACCGGAGGACCGGAGGTATAGACAAATGACGTTGGCCGCAGCGACGCACGGAAGAAAAAAAGCCACTCATGGTACGCACGAGTCGATTAGGCGAATTATCGAAATGTGTACTTTTTTTCTAACGGCTAGATACCGCTGTTATAGCTTGAGTTGCCGCAATCTCTCCCCTGGGCATTACTTGCTGAATGGAACATTGAAGGGTGGAGGAAAATGGACTGCAGTGCTTGTTTGTGTGATTGATTCAAGCGTTGAGATGTTAGTGGGCCAGAGCAAATCAGGTAAGATGGATCTGACGTATGATGCAACCACGTATCTGACGACTGCGCAGCGCAGTCATCTTAACAGGTGGCAAAATTGTGGTGAAAATAACGGTTGAAAGTTATTAGATAGAACGTATATATGATCAGCTGATTAGACAGTTGTCATGGGATATGAAAGAATGCTGAAGTTATCGATGGTCCACATTATCATATATCGGAACAGACTGATGCCCTATAAGAAGCGCTTTGGTTCGTACGACAAAACGTGTAGCCTGCGTAATTCATATGTATAGGTTCATTGAAGGACAGTTGGGTTATAGTAATCTATGCTAGAACCGAAAATAGAGATAGCAAAAAACCGGTTATCGACAGATACTAATATTGCACGACGGATGATGCCGGACAATAGGAGGCAAAATCAAGATCGCTACCGGCGCCTCTTCCATAAACCTAGGAAATGCCTAACCTATTTAATCAGTACGCTGAGAGATCACGAAGAAGCCCTTCAAGTCCAAATGTTATCTCTACACGTAAAATATATTGTCGGATAATTCCCATCCACCATCATCATCATCATCATCATATAACTATTTACTGATAATTGATGTATTCATTCGTTTTGAGTGTCTGCGAGCAAATCTTTACCGTAAAATCAGAATTTAGTCAGATTAGCCCAATTCCCTTTTCTAAATTGCATTTGAGATAGGGTGGCCGTCACTAGATAAAAACGACTGATTCAGCAGTCATTTATTGCAACACAATAAAACACTGCGGGGCAGGGTTCTGCGGTTCTTTATCATTATAAGATAAGCTAATGCTAGCAAAAAAGCATAACATTATACCAACATTGAAGCGATTTCGGTAAACGCTTTGATTTAATCCAACATTGGCACGACACCAGCAGCGACGTGCATCTTACATATCTCTTGTGTAAAGTCCCATGAAGCAAGGACGGGCTGTATAGCTGCCATGTCTCCGCTTTCTGTTTGCTTGGGGTTTCCTCAGGCAAACGTTTTGCAATCGTCTATTTCCCATGCCTCAGTTCTGCACTCGCTGCCATCGCCTGCTGGTTCCGCTTGCTACTGAACGAGCAAAAATAACGTATACGAGCAAAAAGAGATCTCTGCACCTTGCTATTGATCATTCATACAAGAGCTTGATGTGGTTGGTAAGTCAGTCGGTCGTCGGGTGTACCAACGCTCAGCATCACTTCCTTTCCATTGGGATGCACTTTCAATACGGTAAAGAGACAAAACAGACGTCAAGGGCCAATTAAATGTATACTATAGAAGTGGGACTGCAGTGATCTTGTACACAAATCTATACATCGGCCCGAAGCTATTACAGCTGAGTAAACTGTTCTTCCTAAATTCTGGCCCCCGTTCTCATCTTCTATATTTAGTACGATGTCAGAAGCGAGCAGAATAGCGGATGGCGTTCAAAAACGACGGTATTCTCAAAAAGTCTTTCAGGACTGGAACAGTTGTTTCTGAAGATAGGAGGCAAATGTGGTTTGGTGGAGTAGCCGCACCTGATTTGCGTGGAAGTGCTCGTATACGACATGATACAACAAGAACAACAACACTGTTTTTACGTCATCAAACGTTTGACTCAATTAATATTTTAGTTTCGTAAAATATTATGTCGTAAGCCAGCCTTGCTATTTACCACTGTGGCATCGTCTACTGGCCAACGTTTTCTCAGATGTACATGTTTGCTTCCTACACATTTCAACAACCTATTGAAACAAGAACTCCATATATATATATATATATATATATATATATCGCAAATAGTTCCCACTTCTGATACGTATATTTCATTTCTTATCTCGTTACGTCGTGCTGTTACCTCGCACTGAACAACAGCAAAGTTTGACATATATATTAAATAGTAGTTTTGCATGCGATATTTATGGTGTCGGCCATCGCCCGCTTTCTATCATAATCACTAGTAACGTCACATTACTCTTTTCTAAATATTTGTTTAGCTGAATATCGAGTTCCGTCTACTAATGATAGAATAATACAGATAATAGATCAGGCTGACTGGTAAACATACCGGTTTATTTCCGTTGGCTTGTTGTGTTGGGGTGGAATGGTCGTACGCGCCGTCAACTTGCCCCGAGCATGCGCTGTTGTACGGGGGCAAGGCGGGCGCGTTGTCATCATCCCAGGCTGGTGCCGTATCTCCATTGACGTGCGGCCCAATGTGCGCAAGCTGTGCTAACGTCGGCGTCGCCCGCAGCTCGACCTTTAAGTCGCTCTCGCTTCCGGGTCCATGGTCCGTCGTTCCATTCAGTGCCATTGGTCCGTTCTGCAGCGCCTTACCGTTCTTGTTGTCATTGTTGAAGTCTGCTGCTCCTGCTGTCAATTCAGCCGGAACACGAAATGCGGGCGGATCGGAGCCGAGAAGAGCAGATCAGACGCACAGCATCAGCGGCAGTAAGTGAACAGTGGCGAATCCCAGGATAGGCGGCGGCGTGTAACGGAAGAGACCAAGAAGGGTGTGAGAATGAAAGTGTGAATGAGTGAAAGACACGAGAGGGTAAGGGGGTGAAACAGGGGAGAGATGGAAGAGATAGATAGGAAAAACCGATAGCAGATCGGTTAGCTGTTTCCTTGTCTGGTAGCCTCACTGGGTGACTGAGTTTGGGTTTTCATTGGACGGCTGGCCCGTCAACTTGCGCGGGGCGCCCCCTTTCCCATCTTTCCCTTCTCAGTTGGTGGGAACTTAGGGCAACTGGCGGCGACGGCAGCCGGAGACAAGCTGGTTGCACACCGGGGGAGCCTTGTGTCGGGGATGGCAACGACCGGCTGAGCGGGAATTGGATGAGGGTTTGGGGAGGGCCTTTGTTGAAGCACCAAGCGAAAACTGCTACTGCTGTTAACTCCAGTCGAGGATGGAAACTCCAAAGCTTCAATGTTGATGTCCCTGTTCACTTCACTTCCTTCAGTTGCCTTCGAGCAGCAGCAACCAGCCGAACAGGATGGCAGCCCAACGTTACGCGCTTTACAACCCCCAACTACTCGCCGATTCGGCCGGTTTGTCTCCACACGTCTCATTGGCGGCGGCAGCGGCGTCAGCGCTAGGGGACGGACGCTTGCTTGGCTTCACAAATGCGCAGCCAGACACGCAGACACCCATCACGGCCACCCTAACGTCAGGCGACCCCTATCTTTTGTGCCAGTTAAAGCTTCCATTAGACCAGTGGTGGGGTCCGGCAGCCAGCAAGCCAACCAGTGAGACATGGGATAGCAGGCTTTGAAGGGAAAAGCGCAGTGACAGCCCGCTTGGCCTAAGCCATCACTCGCAGCAAGCAGCCCGACGCTGTCTGCGTTGCTCTTCGGCACCTCTTCGATTCTTCTTGGAAGGTTCCTACTGCTCCTGCCGTCGACCGCGTTGTAGTTGGCTAGCGTGCCCTAGCCGTAGCTTTAAATTCACCCATTACAGTAACCCTTTATACAGCCATGGCAGCAAACTCCGTCCTCACCAGCTTTCACGAGTTCCAAATCCCATCAATCCGAAGCAACATCGCTATACACGTCCTCATGCGACAGACAAGAAGGCACACGAGAATATATGCACACAAACACACTCGCCCCGGCGGGGCAATAGTGCTGCTGCTGCTGGTGTTACGGCAACTCCACACACTATGACTGCTAGATGTATGTAGACAGGCTGGGCGTATATGTTGCTCAGCCAACCAGCGAAGCCGGGCTTCGGTCGCCGCGTCGTCAATTGGTGGCTGACTATGCGATTACGTTATGCGAGAAAAAGGGAAGCCAAAGGAACATTGTCAATCAGAAAAACACCAGAACCACGGCAGAGTTTCGTGTGGGAGGGGACACAAACTGAAACAAATCCCATGGATGAACGAGGGATTGAAAAATAAAGCAACGCAAGAATGGAAAAGTAGCAGTCGACGAACTAAATACTGTCAACGACCTGCCTTTGAACTGGGATGGTTTTCTGCGTACGCAGAAGATGACCATAATTGACAGGAGAACGATTACGACAGCCCCTGACGTCGCAGCTAGCATCACAACAAAAGTGGCAACGTTTCGATGACGCCGCACCGATATGAGCATACTGTCCTCGCCGAAGGCGTTCCACGCTGAGCAGTTATACTCGCCAAAGTCATCATCGCTCGCGTGATGTATAACCAGCAAATTGCGTTCGCCGTCCGTCAATGGCTCTGCGAAAAAGAATGAACGAATGAGACAAACATTTAGAGAGTCACAGAGTTGGTTAGAGGCTTAGCAGGCGGTTCTATACGGAGATACCTGAGTTATTGCTGATCTTGAATTAAACGCTGATCGGATAACGCGAATGTCTATTGAAGAAAACTAAAGAAGCTAGGAAAGAGAGGTTTTCGGGCTGTGAAGAATTTCTAGCTGCTTCGAAAATGCAGAGATTATATAATAATTTAACTTGTGCTTTGATTTTTGTGTGGTCTTATGGAAATTTCCATAAGTTCGCATTAATTCATGCTTACGAAAATGTTTATTATTTTAATATAGGGGATCGAAATCGTTTAACGGGTTTGCGTCTTTCTCCGTCAACGTTTGCATATATATATATACATCGAGCGTTATGAATTGCCGAAGTAGAATTGAGATTATCTAGAATTATTTGTGAGACACTTCTGAATCAGGGAATCCAATGATATATTAGCGGACCCCCTCATTAAAACAGGAAAAGATGACCTGGTATGATTACAGAAAAACTACGTATTTCATCACAAATTCATTCCTGTCCCTATGACGATGACAATTATATGCGGTGCTAAAACTATTAAAACTGTAACCCATCACAGGCATGAAAGACGTATAGTTACTTGAAAAATCAATTACCTCAAACTTGGTAAACGCAAGCGTACTGTGCTCATTAGCATATATCTCTACTTAATTTATTATATGTGAGCTAACATCATTATGTTTATAATTGAATATTATTACTCATATCTGGACGTCGACTAAATAGTTCAAAAACTGCAAAGATAGACGGTCATCGGATGGTCTACGGGACCTGTTTAGGATTTTGCAGCCTACTTCCTAGGTTCCATTTTAAATTACCTGCTATTTGAAGCGCTCTTCAGCCCGTCCTTATTGTCACCGGCATTAATTAAACATAAGGATTAGATATAATAAGGACGTTCTTAGTATCTCGCCATTTGAAGCGATAGCAGGCGTGCATTAAATTGGATGCGCAGTACCGTATCGATCACCTGCTGTACCTTGTCGGGTTTGTGACGGAACATTATGACTACAGGGAAACATTATGGTGGAAATATATATGGAAACATTACTTTATGATATGCCCGTATAGATTAACAGTAAATTTTGTCACAGCTGTACACTTTACCATGGCTCGATTACAATATGAAGTGAAGTCGTGCAGTGTGATAGGTTCTTCCAACTATCAGCGGTCGCCATTTTACATCACATGTTTTTTTTCTTGTGTACGATAATTGAAATAATTCTACTGTTACGGAGGAGATCCCACTTCAATGACGCCCGAAGTATTGGGCGGCACGAAAAGTTGGGAAGTTCAACTCACCTGCTACAACCTTCGATTGCAAATTCGTCGTGTTTTTTCTCACTTCGATGGAATATCACCACTTCAAATCTGTCTACGGATTCCTCCGCGCTCCTCAAGGCGTGTCAATAAAAAGCTGTTTTCATGAACTATCAATGGTTTACATTGATTCGAGCGGGGTCCAGGTCCAAGAATTGTGATCAAATTTCGGAAAGGGCGAGCCGTCCGCTCTTTCCTTCCTCTTCTAATAGTAGGCTTTTTTCCCTCCTATAATTTACTTCAGTGCTCGCATCACATAGTGCGCTCGTATCTACTGGTTCCTATATGACAAGGCGGTGTATGTATATCGGTAAGAGCGAACCTGCAACTCTCAATAGACTGGGCAGCTGACCAGGTTGGGGTGTCATGTGCGCGGTCGCGTTCCCTGGTCCATTTAGGGTCTGCCGGTGCTAGCTATTGCCGCTGTGTCCGCTCTGCGGAAAAGGCAGCTTTCACCAATATGTTAGGTATGCCAAGCACGGCATCAGAGTTGCACGGCAGCACATGGATGGACCCACCGCTGCTGACAATCATATCCTTCAGATCTGTGCTTCGAGCAGGACCAAGGGAAAACTCTACCTAGGGTGCCACTAGTCGTGACTTCGCCAGGTCGTAACCACTTGGTCAAGCGCCAAAGTCAGTGTATGACCAATAGCGGTTGTAATGGGAGCAGAATTGAAGGAAGCGTACACATATAATAACGTATCCACATATGCCCTATAATACGTACAAAATTTCATTCATCATTGTTGATCCGTATAGGCACAGTACAGCCTTTTGTATTCCGTGGTAAGTTGTGCAATTTAAGTGGCTCACATGCTCTCCCATCCTACCTATGCCTAGAATATGTAAAAACTGCAAGGTATAACTTCTATACAGAAAAATGGCCGGCGATTGAAACATATACAGTTTTAATAGTCCACGAATAGACGACAATTATTAGATAGACAGAAACCTGTCATAGTTTGCAAAACAGTGGATTAGTCACGGTTACATTGAATTCACTGCACGTATTATTCATCACAGACTGTAACACAGCAGACGTGTACATCTTTCACTGCTAGACTACCATTCACGTGCAGTGTACTAACTAGTTACCTTTGATCATTTCGATGCCTTGATTATTGTCGATGTCCAGCAGTTGTCCGTTCTTCTCCCATTGAACCTTGCCAGCAGGCGGTACCGAGACAATTAAGCACTCGACGTGCACCTCCTGACCTTCCATGCCGTACTGAAGTTGGGGACTGCTGATGTGCGGAGGTCCCTTTACGTACACTGTGATCTCCGTGTGGATCTCCTAGGAGACGGAAAGGTACAGCGAACAAACGCAACCCACAAATAAATGGTAAGACGAACTTGCAAAACGATTCTGTTCAATCGAGCAGCCACTGAAAACTATCTGTATAGGACAAATGATGAAAAAATTCATTTCTATTCTTCATAAAGCTGAATCTAGATGAAAACAAATATTTACATGGAGTCTTTTCTATATGCTGATAGATATATCCCTCAGGAACGTGCTTATCCAATCACACTGGATGTACATATTGGTCATGGCTTCATTCAATACAATGTATAAATCGCTTACAAGTGATTTTCGAAAACCTCACTCTTAAATTCGCAAATAGCTTTTCACAGTAGCCGTGAGTAAGGTGACATGTAGACTCAACGAACAGTCAGACCTGTTAAACGCGAAAAGATCTGGCGGACCTCGAAATTAAAAAAAAGCAAGCCACAAAATTCTAAATATGCAAAGGCCTAAGTACCCTTTTGATGGTCGCGAATTCCGAAAATCTGAGCCTAAAAATTTTACAAAAATATTATTTGCGCCACTTTGATACATCTTCAAGCCTTTTTAAATTAACCCTATGATGTACATTCTGTTTTGTGTTGTAGACATTCTTTCAAGCCTCTTCGAGACCGACATGAGGATTAGCAACAACTAAGACTGTCGATTTCCGGCAACTAAATTAAGTTTGCAGCCTCGGTCGGGGTTTACCCGGCACAAAAACGTTGGGAAAGAACTCGCCCAAACACGAATCTGGTGCGCCCGCCATGATGAGTTTGTAGTTTTATTATACGAGGAACTGCCTTTCTTTAAGCACTAAGAATAGTTGATGCATATTTACATAAGGTTGCCGTTTGGCTACCACTTAGCTCTGCTCATTCTGACGCATCTGTGGCCAAGTGGGTGCTTCTGTTCGTTTGGCTCGTCATGCCTCAGGTAATAACACACCCCGGACACGACATCTGCATCCATACAGTGTAAATAGTATGTGGCGTACATGCATGGCGACAGCATCGCGCACTGCTAACTACCGCTATACTGCAATACTATTGCACGTGCGGCAAGTAGCATTTGTGCCACAGCTGCCAAGCTGCTGTTGTTACGCATCTTTCGCCAACAGGTGGGTAACTTGTACGTGCGTATACAGCTATATCACTTTAACATCAATGCTATGTAGTGTCTTGCATAGTTCGCCATAGCAACCGTAAGTGCCACTTTTTCTCTTCCTTTTGCGCTCACTCTCATTTTCTGTCCTTTGTCAAGCTAGACAGCAGAACCGCCTTTGCGGTAGCTATCGGCTGCTCGGTGGCAAGGAAACTAACCCACACCTCTCAGGCTATCCTGTGCCCGCAGACACAGCAGCAGCAATTGCCAGGAGTCTGGTCGACCCATACTAGCTGCGTGCTGATGCTTGTAAGAAGCAGGCATGGCTACTACCCTTATTACTCCTTTTTACTAAGCGCTTTGCTTCTGGTTGCAGAGCTCCGTTCGGTGTTATGCGATATTAGCTGCTCTGTCACTGTTAATCCGACCGAACTGTGCAGGAACAAGGAGAATGGAGCTAAAGCCGAGATAAACCGAACATAAAGTTACGTAAAGAGGAAATATGAGGTTGGAATCTAAGTGACGTCATAGACTATTTGCAACCCTTGCTGCTGCTGACAGTGATGACAATACGCGCGTCCCCACTATAAGTGGCCGTGTTTGCTCACCTGGTATCCGGAGCTGCTGGCTCGACAAACATACTTGCCAGCGTCGGCTGGCTCCATATCTCGAATCACGAAGGTGGCTTGTTTCGCCAGCACCTGGGTACTTCCTTCGCGAAGCCACACGACATCCGGTCGGGGATTGCCGTCGACTTCGCAAGTCAACGCGACCTCGGTGCCTGCACAGATAAGCCAAATAACAAAATAGTATAGCAATGCGGAACAACAATATGGTGCCAGACATGCCGGCGCACAAACGAAATTTGGTACATATTTCACTATAGATCAGTCTGGAAGCGTCTAAGATATGTCATCATTTACGCACATCAGGCAATGTAGCCACGAGTAGCATTATAAGGTGCAAAAAAGAGCGGGTCGTAACATGCTCCCTGTTTCTGACGTTTGTATCGTTTTATATTCACCGTTAGCAATAGGTACATTACATTGTAGTGATTAGATGTCGGGGTTTTTCACTGGATGATAGATCAATGAATTAATAAATCATCAAAGTTTGTACCAAAATTGTGCAGGCAAGTGCTCTTGCACATAATTTTTGTACTTGCCGGAATACACTTTAAAGAAACTAGTAATATTATTAACATTATAATTTTCTAAGAAGATAAGTTATTTCTAGTCCCGATTAATTAATGAAATCAAAGGAGTCCTGCTTAGTAAAAGCGGTAATGTACACATATACAACACACCTGTTAATAATCGCACGCAATGTTAACTTTAACAATATATTAATAACACCGACAATTAGCTATTGGGGCGGGTATGACTGACAGACTCACTGGGTCGACCCACAATTGTGATTGAGAATAGAATTTTTCAAGAACATTGGGGACATCTTTAGCGTCAATGTATGCCGCTCCGCGTATTACATCGATTTTTCCAGTCCGTTACCTATGGTAGAATGCCAGCACTGGCTTTTTATTAGATACAGCATATCTTTATTTGTTCTCATCTTTCTTCACATGTGTCAATCCGAATTACCGTTTATGACCAGCACGAGTGGATTCTAGGCTTTACACCGTGTATCAGGTGTGCCTCTACCGCGTTCTGTAAATAAGTCGTACTAAAGATATGTCATATGTGTTATCTCGAATAATCGATAATACTATGGAGGTTATTGGCAGAGGTAGTCGATTTGAATACGGAGGTTCTCCGGAAGGGAAGTGGAGGGGGTAGCTATAAACATCCCTTACGATTACCATCATCGGTGTCAACATAGTTGCTATGTATGTTATCACCACACAAGGTATTTTCGGCCTGAGCACGCACATGTCTATATATATATATGTGTTTTTATATACATAATATAAAGCTAAGCCCTAATATGAATGTCAATAGCAAAGCTGTTCGCGTCTTTCCATTTTGCATATTTATTTGGTATTAGAAATATACGATGGTGCATTACAGATATTCGGATGCTTTGACGAACCGCTTGCGCCTGACAATAGAAGACGTACGATTCGTAGCAATGACGGAAATTAGACGAATATAACAACAACGGTAGTGGCAGCCACATATCTCCGCAGTAAGAGAAAGAACTGGCAGATTGTTAAAGGACAAAGCCGCACAGGACTTGAACAACCGGATAGCAGTTGTAGTGATCCGAGGAAAAAACTGCGCTCGCTGCTATACCACCGCCGCTACGAGAGGCTCACAATGCTTGTCGCATACGTCAGCAGTGGGGCAAAAAGAAGAGCAAAAATCTGCAGGTACCTCCCAAGCCATCTATCCATTTGTGTTGCCCCCCTTTATAACAAAGTCGTTTACTATTGGTGCGTGCACGCACAAAATGAAATGTCGCAATCATTTTATGTTAGCAGCGCCGGTTCCGTAAAAGCAAACCGTCTCAGAGAAGAAACAGACAGAACGAGGAGCAACCAAGCAGCATTATTAGGTTCACTACTGCATTTGGCTAGGGCGCTGGTCAGAGGTTGTTTTCGAGGACGAAAAACCTTCGGTCGAGGAAGACAATTCCATTTAACCGAATTCGTTCGTTTTCGGCCAGTAGCAGTAGTGGTAGTACACGACAGCGGGAATCAGCAATCTAAGCGTCTATTCCTCTCATGGACCACACAACAAGTACAACATGTCAAGGAATGGAGAGACGGACGTAGAAGGCGGAAGTAGGACATGTGGACAGCCAATTGTACATAACCTGCTTGTGTCGTCTGCAACTCTATTTGCAACACCGCCGCCATTCCTGCTGTTGTTACTGCTGTCATACCGTTTGTAAACGACAACAGCAAAAGTAGAAGGTTCACCGCCTGGAGGAACTGCATCCATTGAGGTGGGCCATGTCATAATTCGCCAGTTATAAACTATTGTAGTTTCTGCGTGTTGTGCGCTCCTTTAGATTGTCAGCCTCCTTGTTCTGGTCGCCGGCGGGCGAGACGGAGCTGGAAATGTTGCTTGTGATGTTGCTTGCTCACAGTCGCTGCATGGCCACCTGGCTGTTTGCTCCTTCCGGCCTGTCTTCCAGTCTGCGGATATCTTCCACCTCTTTTCTACGTCGACTCCCTTCCTATTCTGGCTTTTTCAACGCTCTTCTGCTCCATCTGTGTTCATCTTTAAATAGTGTTGTGCGGTCCGAGCGACTTTGCTTCCCTGCAGCGCCTTTTTTCTTTGCCCCGCGTTCTACCCGCGCCCCCCAACAAAACTCCAATCCCCACTTATAGCTACTATAGGATGGTCTTCAAAGTCTTCTGCCTACCTGGCCGGCTGGCCACGGCGGTCAGTGGGTTGATCTTTTACAGTTTCTCATCGTTGACTGTGCATAGCGTTGTATGGTGACGTTTGTTCAAGGATTTCGGTGTCTGTTGGATGCTACGCCGTCCAGTCGAGCAACATGCTCATAGACAGACGGACAGAAAGAGAGGGCTTTTGCACTGACGGATGGTACGAGGCATTTTATGCAGCCTGGTTGCTGCTTTAGCAGCCATGAAACCTTATAACATTCGGGTGTGTACTGACGCAGAAACCTCTTAAAACAGAAATCCGTGGAACAGCGTCCGACAGATCCGCTAAACATAGCGAACCGCTACGCGTTTTGCGTTAACAATATGATGGTCCGTGTGTATGAAAGTGTTTTAGCAGTCTGTAGATGAACTTTAGTTTTAGAATAGGCAAATTCGCATTATAATTCTCAAATATTTTTGAGCCGACTAAATAGGTAGCATAGGACTATAACAGACACTTTATCACACTGTTAAATAAAATCTTTAGCTGAAAAAATGCTACAAACGCGCTCTAAATTACTATGTACATGAACATACGTAGAAAGAAAGGTACCGTCAAAGACATTAACTATAGTCGTTTCATATGGTCTAAACAAGCTACCGATGCTTGAATTATAAAAGAGAATAATTGGTAATAACTTAGCGTCTATTCGTAAGTTATTTTGATAATCCGAAATCAACTTTGCACTTATACACGTGGACGTACGAGTGATGTATTATAAAGTTGTTCAATGGGCCACCTATTCAACTATTAGCTCCTTGATTCTATAATAGCAATTCAACAATAATATTATCGTCTTGTCTGTTATGCAGCAACGCGACAGGTAGTCGCTTCCCGTAAAGCAATCCTATTGTCAAGCACGCAAATGTTAGGTTTATCTATACAACCAACAACAGTAGCGTTGGCCTTTTTACGCACCTATTTCCGCAGCAACTACGGGCAGCTCGTTCCTGAATTGTGGTTTATAGTAGACGTTCAACGTCTGTGTCGATTTGGAGATACCAATGCTGTTGCGTACTTCACACGTAACTGTCTCACCGTTCATTCGTCGTGAAACCCTTTCGAGAACGAGGAAATTCTCGTTGCCGGCCATTTTAATAGGTTCATCGTTACGGAACCAGCGATAGGTCAGCTCAGTGGGGTTCGCTTGAGCCGAACAGAGGAAACGGACAGTGTCGCCTTCCTGGACCTTATCATTTTCTACGGAGAAAGTGATTGCCGGGGGATCTGTAATAGGACGTCATGAACGAGACAAAACGAACATGCAGATGATAAAGTGAGGATCTATAAAGCAAAATCGACGCTACATACCAGTAGGCCATACGAAATCTCGGTTACCAGAAAGATCGCAAGCACCGGCTGATATTTATCTCTAAATAATTTCATGCGACGGTCTAGAAGAGAAAGCTATGGGTATTGACTGAATAGGTCAATGAACAATTTTGTTTGTCCTATGTATTCGGCATTCGTTATGAAAACTACTTGTTATGTCATATGTACAGTTCAGTATGGATAGACAACGAGGTCTGTTTGCAGTACCCATTGATCTAATTATTCGATTTTAATTATGGCAATGACCACAGCTATTGCAAACGATATGACCAAGAATTTGTCACGGTGAAATTTCCGCTCGCAATAAACAATAACGTCGCTTCTTCGCAACGCACAATTGCATCCGATGAAAAAGGGCGCGAAGTAGAAAACATCCTTTCCCTACCTTAACCTCAAGCTTGCTAGACCTTGAAAGACGTAAGTAATAAAAGGTTCAGCTTGTGCTAGTCTTTGAGAGTTGACGAGTAAGAAGAAGTCTGGTTGTAGCAGTGAACTGTGGTTCATCCTCCCTAAAAAGCGGTGTCGGTTTTTGTGGGAGGAGACACAAAAGCAAAGCATTCAGCGCTGTACGAGCCAAATACGAATTATTATCAATCCATATATATATATATATATATATACATACAACAATCATCATCATCGTCAGTGAGAAAATAGTGCCTGCCAGGCTGGCACAATAAACAAGCAGAAAGGCAGCTTGATAGCTATACTATAAAAGGGTGTTCTTTCTTGCATAAACAGCTTATTTCCTGACCTGCATCCGAACACGAAACGCCCTTTACGACGAAAACCTTCAACGGCATGACTTACGGGCTAGCTCACCTCTCTATACTCGCAAGTAATATCTACTGCTACACTTGTGTAACAAACTCACTAATGTGTAACGGCACAATGAGCTGGCTGGTTTCTTTATTTTATAAGCGTTATAATTAACAAGCAAGTAGTATGAAAATTATCATCGTCAAAAAAACTCCCTGAATTTGATTAAAGTTGAAAAATCAACGCTTTCATTTGTCTACATTTCGTAACGTACCGTTACATAAATAGCCGCTAACTATTCTCCGTTCACGTAAGTAGGAAGATTTACTAGTAGAAAGAAGAACGTATTTTGTTACAGTTGAGCTTTACTTCATTGAAGGCGTATAGATCGTATACAAGTTCGCGCACTGACAAGCTTTGGCAAGAGCTTCGACAATGTGCTATGACTACCGTTGTTGATGATCCATTGCTTCTTGACGTGTTACTTCAGTGAACAGCAGCTACTTTCCTTCAGTCCATTTGTTTCCCATAAGCTATTCTGTGCCTGTATGCGTATGTGTCTCCATTATGAGCCTCCGCATCTGCACTTACTACGTATGCGTGCCTCTTTCGCACGCGACCTGTCCGTGTGCGTATATCTCAAACGATGCAACTCATAGACGACAGGAGCGCTAGCGGAGACAGTGGCGATTACTCCGAGACCATGTTTAACTGTTTTCACAAGGCCATCATCTCCTTTGCAGCTTGTAAAGCCAGATACAGGGGTCTCGGTCTAACGGCACCTCGTCGACCTACCGGTAACCCCGCCCGCTGATTTATACGAGTCCTGTAGACGAGTGATCCCTATTAGCTCAGTGAGCAATTTTAATGATGTATGCATCGTATGCAGACGTCTGTGTAAGACTCGATGTAGCCTATAGTAGATTTTCTGCGTAACATAGAGTCTGGCAGGACCGAAGCGGGCTCTGTTTCATAATGGCCGGTAACTCATAGGGGATGACTTTCGCGAATGCGAGCATTCGTTGCCTCGCATGTGAACAGGGAGCTGTTGATCTCGAAGTTTTTCTGTCTATGAGCCCTTGAAAGCCCCCAGTTACCGTTCCCCGCTTCTTTGTCATCATGTTGTTCGCCAAAACCAGTCAGTTACATACTTCATATTGAAGGACGGAGCGGTATTTAATAGAAATTAGTTGTCGGTTGAGAACGCTTGCACTCCCTCTTCAGCGCCATTACGGCCGAAGCATGCGTCAGGGTTCACAAATGGGTGAGGTGGATAAGAACACATGACTTGTCGTGGGAAGAACAAGACGAGCAACGATCAGCTATTATACAACGTCTTAACGCGAGATGAATCCCCACTGAGGTTCTTGAGGAGCTTGAAATCGACACCATTGCTAGTTTTCACGCAACTACTAAAAAGCCTGAGAAGGATTTCTGCAAGGCAAACGGAAGGATCCTTAATAGAATTTAGATTTAAATATCCTGAAAATTCTTCAGAATGGTTCAAAAAGCTGTTTTTGATACACCTGGACTCTTAATATAGAAATTTACAGCCGTTTTGCACCCCGTGAATATCAATTGCCTATTGGCTCATCTAACTAACAGTTAGTCCTTGTAAAATTTTTTGTGCCGTGTTCCCTTTTTGGCTGTTTTGAATCCATGCACGTTGGGGACGTTTAGCCTAATACTAGCCGAAATTATATTCCCTCTGCTATTTTTTATAGGTGGTGTATTCGAACGATATCTAAGTAGTTTACACCTACCAATATCGATTGAGGCAGGATTACTAAAACAAAGGATTATGCTGCAAATGACTCGTGAACGGTGAGCAAATCGTTATTAACTTTTTTCAGCTGCGTCATCATGCTTGTTTGCTTACGCGGAATGAGTGCATGGGATGCTGTTGCTCCTAACGTATGCCGGCTTTCAAACGTTGAGCTAGTACGTATAGGGGGTTAATTCTTGTACCAAGCGTATGTCCCCTGTCTTCAGTTTCTGTTGCTTTTCCTTGCTGGTCCTGTTCCTGCTGTCTTGTTTAGTGTATGCAGTCTATGCTGGTGTGCGTCTCCAGGGAATTAGCGAAAGGACGACAGAACAGTCAGAGGCGGAGGCGGCGTCAAATATGCACACTATCATTAAAACGGTTGTCGTCCTTGATCGAGGTCTTCGGGTTGGTGTTGCAATATCCACCACCCTCAGCATATCCCCTTTGAAGCTCGGTTGGGCTCTGCTCAGAGCCGCTTTAGATCCTGCTATGTACTATTCGGAGCACAGCGAAATAAACTAAACATGGAGCAGAATAGATAGTGGCTAAGACAAGACAGAGTAGGGCAGGGTGCGTATCTTACCCCCCCCCCCCCCCCCGAGTACTACGCACGGCGGAGAATGGCCGTTCAACTCACGCGATAAAAAACAAACCCATTAACCTTCCCAACAGCAGCAGTGTCAGCGGGGCAACCGTTTGTCGTAAGATGAGAACGCAAGAGGGATGCCGCGCGACGCAGATGACTCTATAACTAGTCAAGATCACGTCGCCATATTGATAATAATGATGATCATAATTGTTTAAATTATGAAACAATTTACGTTGATTCGCTGCATTTATATCCATGTAAGCGTTTCGTTGTTGTTGGTGTCCTTGTCGTGGATGTCGTCGTTTCGTATGCTTCTCCTACCTCTCGGCCCCGACGTGCATGCGAATCGGCCTCTGTGGGCATGTCTGTATCGTCTGTATACTGGGTTAAGTCAACGACCTATTCTACCAATAGCACATTCATTTTACACCACTAGTGGCACATTACTTTAACTTGGTAAATTAGGCCAAAAACAAGATGTAAGGCCTTGGGAAAAATGGTTCCAAGACGCAACAAAAAGGTGCGCACTGGCATATACAGTACAATAGCAATGGAAAACCATTACCGTATTTTGGGAGTAATTTAAAATTGAATTTCATATCATATACTGCTTTGCAATAAGGCGTTATCAGAAAATTATTTGCATGAGAATACCCATCACGATCACGAAAACTGAAGTTGCTTACTTATTAAAATCCTATGAGTTCATGTTGACGGGCTTTTGTTAGCAAAACCTACCGATCGCAGAGAAAAAGATCGTTATAGAAAACGCCACAAAAATTATGCAAAGGAGAAATAGTCGCTACCTATTGTTCTCGTGTCCTCTAAATAAGAAACAACCCGAACTACCTATCACGTCATCTATTCTCTAACAGTGTTTGGCTAGTTGATAGAAAACCGTTGATATATATATCTACTAGACAAAAAGTTTACCCTGACAAAATACCCGAAATTGAAATAATGCTGCAGTTCCTTAGCTAAAACTCAACAAAAAACATGACAACTTGGTATATCGGTGATACGTTCATTGTTTGTACGGACTGAATAGGATATTCTCTTTATTTGTCTATTTGTATTGAAATCCGGATACGACATGAACTAGCGGGAAGATTATGAACGTAAAGAGCAAAAAAAGAAGAATCAGAAGGTGGACGTTGTGGTAATAGAATATCTGCACCCCACGCAGCCCTGCATCGCATTTAGTCATTGAAAGCCGCGAATATTTCCCTATTCGTGAACAATTAAGCCATATTGTTTTAAAGGCGTATGTAGGCATATTAGGCAGTCGTAAGGTTAGTATCGAGATGAACTAGCCAGTCAATTAAGTGTTTTCCAATATGTCAGTACGTCTCGCAATAGAATCTGTAGGAAAAGGCAGGGATGCATTTCAAAATAGTTTTTCCTTTAAAACTAACCTCGTTTTATATAGAGGTAATTCCTGTTACGCGTTAAACAAGTGAGAAAATTTCCCTTAGCATGCTAGGTTATTCTAGGTATACGTTCCTAGCTATTCATAGTACATTCCGTCTAGAATGATCCGAATAGTACAAGATTACAATTCTGAGCGGTGTTTTAACATGTAAATGTTAGCCAGTAAGCAGCAATCAGAAAACCCCCGTCGCTTCTTAATCAAACGCCGGAGCAGGTCAATCCTTGCTCAAATATTCCACGCGTTTGTACGTTGCATGTAACGGCGGTATGTCCAGAGGCCGCGTTACGAGCACTTCGGCTCCATTTATATTGTTTTAACATCAAGTTAGTAGAATTATCTCAAACTAGAGCCAAAGTTTGTGTACTAGGTTATAAAACACGTAGACTAATTTGGTGCGGAAACATTGTCATTGACTTAGGCGCATTTTTTGAAGCGAAACAGAAATATATTTCATTAAGTGTTTCTGCCTATGTCGTCCTTTATAGATTTTACCCATCAACAAGACGATAGGAGCGCACCTTTCAGATTTCACTCGAAAGTTTATTGGGTTGGAATTTGACAGTATATTACCCAGGTGAGTTGTCGTTTTTGGTCGATTCCAACAAGGATAGGTGGTATTGGCAGTGGTGGCAGTAGTCTATATGGGTTCGTTTAATCCGCGTTATGCAGAACTAAGTCTATAGAAGGCACTCGATACGGTTTTCTCTCATCGTAATCCAGAATGAAACACGGGCGAAATATTTTACCAGACATGTATCACAGAACTTAATCATCGATAAAATAAAAATTTTGCACGGTACCTAACCTAACCAAAAATTCAGATAACTTATCTAACTTGCAGAAGTAATTGTTCCTGTCTTCCGTTCAACTTTCTTTAGTCTATTTTGATTACAGTTGATGAGACGTTCGGACTCTACGACTGCCGGTGAAATTCTTCGGAAGATGATGTTCTTAAAAAGCACATCAATGTTTAAATACTTAATAGATGAACAATAAAAATAATAATAACAAGGTCAGACTATCTGCATATACATGGACTGTAAAAAATATGCATACTTATTTATATCTTACGTCAGAGCGTATGCTCGGGACCGCTACCTGAAAGGCCCGACCTGGAAAAACAAACGAACCGCACCTATAAAAAAGTGCTTTCTTCCGTTTTAACAACAGCGGCCTCCGTAGATTTTCCCATCGAACTCAACGATTGTCAGAAAGCCTCTATTCGCGCCGTCGCATCGAACACATCTCTCTAGGTAAGGATATGCGAGAACCTTTGTATAGCACAGTAGATGTCCGTATTCTGTGGTAGCGTCAGAGGTAAAAAAACACCACTGAATTGTGGCGTTTTCTTCTCCGGTAGAAAGGATAATGTTGCGCCCGTGATCCTTCAGCATGACAAGTAACAACGTGTGAAGATGTCGCCTACTATCTCTAGCGGCTTTTGTCACTGTTCTAGAAGATTTTCAGCAGACATTTTTTAACGAATAGCTAGCTAGCTAGCTACCCGTCCTTTGATGCGTTAATCAATCGGTCACAAAATGAAGGCAATGCCAAATCGTATCGATAATTCAATACTATTTCAAACACCTGTCGTCAGCGTTAGGCTAACACCTTTCAAGCTATCGTAATGCTGTGCTAGATACTACAAAGAAGACAGCATGTAGAAAATCTATTATTGAATAGTATCCCGCGCGGCTTACTTCGTATTGATGCTCCTGGCTTAGGACAGGCCTGAACGAAGGCGAAAAAGAAGATGGGAAAAACAATTCGCATAGCCCTTAATACTTATATTTTGGTTTTGTATAGTGACAAAATGGCAACTTGCAATATCTGCCATATCCTTTATCCATAAAATACAGAACTAAATAGATGCTAGTGCCCTGAGGTGCACCCTTTTTTCCGATTTTACACACCATAATTGACTATGCAACGTGAACGACAGCTAGGACCAATTGATGTTCCCGTTATAGCGCGGTCGTAACATATTTACCAACTAAATTCAGGGATACGTACTGGGTTAAGTTTGGTCCTGAGAATATGCGTACGTTGTTTCGTGGTGACATCTAGCCGTCTCAAGCAATGCATAACGGTTAAAATTCTGGAGATAATACTCGAAACGTCTTTCGACGTTTCGACGCCGACGAAGAGCTAGTGCTTCTTTCCAGAGGTTTAGCTTACTTTAAAGTACTTTCATTTTTGCAGTGCGTATATCTGTGTGGCCCACGGCGTTAATGTCTATAAATAATACATATGCAGATACGTGTACGTTATAATAGAAGGGCAGACTTTGTTGTTTGAGATAGAGCGATATTTCGTTGCAGGTAGGTCACAACCGGGCAGCCAGACAAGCAACCAGGACCAAGCTATCGTCGTTAACAATCGTTTTTACGACATATTCCGTCCCAAGGCACATTCGGGTCTATCAAACGTCACTCCAAGAGTGAGGACCTAAAATAGTCGAATACTTGTTTTCGACAAGTCATCATTTGTAGCCCGTATCGTCGCCGCAATCATCTTCAAATAGGCCCTGTTACCGCAGCAGCTTCACCGTTTCGGTGAGGATATTGACCGACATATGCTGCGAGTTCTAGAAATTCTAGACTACGTACTCGAACCAGTACTAATTGATATTACCTGCATTGTATCCGATGTACAGTGTAATGCCGGAACGGCATGTATTATGTCCGCGGACAACATTAGTGGGCTGAAAATGTTTTGCTGCCCGGTTTCATCACCGCTTACTTCAACGTCGAGGATCATTCAAAGTAGGCTAGCTAACTAAACGTTGAAACGCGCGATTCGAATTATTACATCAACCAGAGCCACCCGAAACGAAGATAATCTAGTAGAGCGCCGATCTATTTTAGTTTTAGTAAAGCTTTGCTTGTGAACTAAATGACCTTCTAGGGTTGGGGTAGCCTTCATTGGGCCGCCGCCGCTGCAGCCAGATCCTCAATGTTCTGAATGGCCACCGCAAGGTAAACCAATACATCGAACAAAACAGATGTTGAGAGAGTTTATAACGATGCAAAGTTTTGCCCAATCAGTGTCGATTCCGCCTGTCGTGTTCGCAGACCGGGAGCTCGGAGAAACAAAAAACTCTCGGATGAATTACTTCTTGTTTTTCTATTTTAAGTTATCAGAAATGTAACTGAATACAGTGGTTTGACTGTCGACAGATGGCCTATCACGTATCCGATGATAAATAATTGCTAGCATCACCTAGACTGTGAGGGAGTAGTACTTCAGTTACTCAATAGCATACAAAATTCGTCGTTTAGACGTTTTGCGGTTCGAGGAGGAACGAAACACAGTAATCATGTAAATATAGGACTTAATGTAATCAAATGAGAGACTTCGTTGAATCATGCTTCGCTTACTAAATAAGTGAGTTCATACGTGAAGGCTGCTCCGACAGACAAGACCTACTCGATTAGCTAGGAAATGGCTTGTAATTTTTGCCGGACCATTCGGAAGAACCATAGTTAACAATATTCAGTTATAAACACTTAGTTATTCATACCAGCCACCTATATATATACACATATATTAACACTTGCTTCCGGTAAAGCTTAGTTTAGCCATCGGCCAAAAAAGAAATTTTCGTATATAACACGTGTTTGACTATGACAAATCCTTCGCTGTAGATATTCGTTTTAACCTACCCAACTATGCTAGTCAGTCCCAGACGGCTCTGAAACTACTGGAATTGTCAATAGTTACAGTTATTAGTACCTCAGACTTATACATAGGTTTCATTACGATAAATAATACGGCCATTTGCAGAACCGAAACTAATGTACGTCTGGATTTGGTGGCCGTATTGAACTGTGACCCAGTCTGCACGACTGACTTACGGGTTACGCTGGTAGAAGACATGTCTTTTATTCATATACATGGTAGTATACAGTTTATTTTACCTATTTAGATCGATATTCGAAGGTTCGGACTTCGAAAGCAGAGTCAGAGAACAACAGACCGAGTAGATTAATATGTAAATTAATCCATAATAACCACATACTACAGAGTCGAGAAATAGATATAATCAAGGTTTTAATCAATTTAAATTATCGATATCAGTAGCTGACCTAAGTAAACCTGCAAAAAAATCGCCTCTCTCTACAAAATTACGGAAATCTCCTTTGCACGATGTCTACGTGACAAAATTGTTTCAATTACTCTGACACGTCTTATCGCTGCGGTCGATAATGAAACGGGATTAAAGCTTCTGACCATTACCGGAGATCCAAGTCTGGCGATTTTACGTCATTCCAAAAAGTCAGCTAACAATAAACAACCGCAAAGAGCCAGCTAAGCTTATAATCGTTGGTGTCATCATCTAATGTTCATTATCAAGGTCTCCTACCACACAAGTTCACCGAATTGATAGTAGTAACTATACTGCACGCAGGACATACTGCCTGATTAAACCTCAGACTCAGGCTGTATTTAACTTCATTGCCGAACGCATTTATCGGCCGCTCCGGTTGAAGTCTCTCCATTAAATCGAAATTCATCTCACCTGCTGCTGTTGTGGCTGTTCTATAAAATGTCTATTAGCTATCGCAACGTGTAAGGCAATGGATGAGCCTCCTTAATGACTGCAGATAAATGTTATTAATATTTTAAAAACACTGTTTTGAATAGGATGCGCACTTACATCGAACTTCCATTGTGATCGTGGCCAACATAGAATCGGTTGTGGCCGGATTGTCTGCCCTGCAGGTTAGGGTCTGGCCGTCGTGTTCCTTTGACGGATGAAATGTCCATGTGAGAAGGGAATTCTCCCGTTTGGAATCGGGTACAGGCTTGATCTCGCGTTTTAGACTAGGACCTGTAATGGAGTCAGGGAAACATAGACACACATACAATACTGTTATGGAACAATTTTAGCCACATAGTGTTTCAGAAGCCATATGTATTTTTTCATTAGGAAACAGTTCGCCTTCGCGAGTTGGTGCTTGAAGGCTGTGTTGATCGCAAATGTTTGTTTTTCCGTCCCATCTATTTCATAGTTGAGCAATGTTCTAGCCTGTTAAAGACGATAAAATCACTATTTACTATTAATTGCGTGCCGATCCGTAACCCTCAGGCAAGGCATAAGCGGCCTATCAAGGCTAGTCACGCAGAGGCAGTTGCAACTAAATTCAGAATGACTGAAGTTATTTATGCCGATGAGTGCATACGCGTAGATTTTTTAAGGGTATCTCTCGGCTTCGCAGATGATTCAGTTTATCTTGGGTTATATACAGATTAAACCTGTCCTGGGAGGCGATGAGGTATCACTACTAGATACAGCGTATGCAGAGATTCGAACGCCAACAGTATCAAAGCCGTATATTATTTTTATCTGCTATTTTTTACATCGAAAGAACTGTATTTCGGTCACCTAGCATGTGTGATTAGCTATGATGAGCAGGGCATTCTTCAGTTTATAAAAGTTGAATCTCGTCTCATCTACGGTACGGCTAATTAACAAAACGATTTCTCAAGCCGTTGGAGCATTCCGTACAATTACTAACGATACCTTGTTAAGACAATTATTCCTTCGATTGTTAATTGAGATACGAGATATTCCCAGTTCGGCTATATTGTATAAGCTACCCAAGAACAGAAAGTAAGGATCATTGTACGTATGAAATGCCTTCACACAGCCATCTAATTTCGTAATAGTTAGTATTATAACCTAGTGTGCCTAATTTCTATTAAAGCACACACCTTATATTTCTAAGTACAAAACCATGCCATAGCGTCAAAGCCTATTTCGGAATCGCCCATCGAAGATCGATATCACACGTATAAAACTAAAAATAAGATAAAGACAATTACAAACCCTGTTTATTTCCGGTCTAGAAACTATATGATAAGTTACACATTATTATTTTAGTAAAAAAGTTTTCCTTTCTCTGTAGAGATCGCACTTTTTTTGTGTTTGAAACGAAATCTTATGGAGAAGACATTTCTTATATTTTGACTCTTTGCTTCTTTCAACGATTGTTTTATCTAGTTCTCGTAGCAAGGCTTCTGAAGCCGCTCGCATCGCTCCGAGCCTTTTTAAAGTTGAAATGTATAATTTGCTATATTCTCAGGATAAATTTTGCTGCCTGAGCCTCGTGATTGGCCTTTTATTTGCAGACCTGTATGTATTATAGAATGATGTGAACCTCTAGGCCACTGTTGCATCTTAGGTTCTCTTTCGGGGCGCTAATGTCAACACGTCGTTCTGTTTACCGAAAGCCCAGTTAGCTCCCGATAGGCTGAATTTCTGGCCTACTTATCTGGCCTAAATAGGAGCTCGTTGATGACGTTATATCAAGGACGTTATTCTTCATTTCTCCAACAGATATGAACAGCAAGAGACGTGGCATCGGAAGCACGAGCGAGCCTCTTTCGGCAACCGCAATGGCCATGTAAACTGCATCATTAGCCAGCATCGTCCTCAGCTGCGGCGATGACACAAGACTTTAGTCTTGTCAAATACTTTTCGAATAGAAAGCTGCCACGATGCAAGCGAATTCTCTCTCTACTTAGAGGCTTCTCGAAAAAGTTTTTCGCATGTTGCTTATTACTATGTTGTTGTAAGATCGTTGATTCTAGACCTAGGGGTCTGTTTCTCTCTATACCCTAAAACTCTTTTATGCCCTCTCTAGCCGTATCTTCCAGGCCTGACTAACGTTCTGGGTGAAGACTTGTGTTTCTAACTGTTATATCATTGACTCAATGGCTCTCAAGACTCATAGCTCGACAAGTAATGATGCTGTAATTCTAAAGCAAAACCCAGAGCACGTACAGAAGAGACAAGCGATGTCGACCCTTTCTGCCCGAAGTTTCCCTTAAAACTACCCGAAGAGCTTGTCGCAGGTTTGTATTGGATTGCAGCACAGCACTCTTTTGCCGCATATGGAATGCATTACAGAATGTATAATAGCCTTCAGGATCGACAGGTTCGTTTGCAGTCTCGTAAATACAGGTGAGCTTAATATTTGGCTGGGGGTTTGCTAGTCCCCTCACTCTTATGCTTGGTAGCAGGTCTCCAATGACCTGATGGGAACCTGCTTGTACTGCTAGTACCGAAAACGCCATAACTCAACATTTGTCACCACTCAGATGGAGTCTTGGCGTTTCCTGAAACTCTGAAACAATGACTGTATCGCCCGCTACTCGGCTAGGGTTCCATCGTCCGAATGCTCAGATCTTTGTTCGGATTTGAATTTTTTGAGGAAGTGCTAGAGAGACGAGTTCCCGCGGCAAAGAGTGTACGCACGAATCTCGTTGCTGCACTTCTCCAACTAACAAAATAGTTGTTCTCTCCTGAGGCTAAATAGACAAAAGTCTACACTATGGTAGTTAAGTCGAATTCTTCGAGGCCTTTTGAAAATAGACGTTCGTAATTATTTCTCTAGTCGTAATATTAACTAGCAGCTAGGTCCGTGTACTGTGTGCAGTGGCGTTTGCGCCTCCTCGAACGTCATATACCGACAGCGCCGGTGAGAATAGCAGCAGAGTCTTTTTAAAAATGTATTTTCATTGCACCCTTACCCATCGCTTGCTTTAGAAGGTCTAGACCACCGTTTGGGCTGTTATTATTATTGGTGGATTTTATTTCGAGTAACTTAAATGTGAGTTTGTTAATTACTGCCATCGACCTTCATGCAAACTGGAAGCACACGAAAAAAACATCCGGAGTAACGCTTCTCCTGCAAGAATCGTCGCTTGCTATCTGCCGCTAGTGGCAGCTATTGGTTGGTATATAAGCTTTGTGCCATTACGGAAATGTAGCTATAAGCTCACTTGGCCTATATGCTTTTTACGATGTGAACGTGCCATGAGCGTGAGACATCTTCGTTTTATCATGTGGTACTACTACCGACTATCTGGCCCCTGGAAATGGATCCTTGCCCAATGCGCGGCTAACATAACCGCGCCTCGCAAACACTTTTGTTCACCAAGGCCAAGTGTATGGTCAACTAAACTTTGCTTCTCGCTCATTCTTCATGTCTAAATAAAACGTATCAAAAAAAAAAGGTTCTCTTTGCAGCGCCGCCAAGCTCACATGTATTTCACTGGTAAGCTAATGGGCGTGTACTGCTCTGTTTATCGGCCGAATTCACAAGCAGATCCAGTTCTGAAGATCTACAGGAGCTGATGGTTTTACCATATTATTGACAAATATCCAATCGTGTGCAGGATTGCTACTAGTACTAATCAGACTGTTAACTGGAATTATTCTCCTAGCCTTGTAACCCCTCGAGCTTTGGTGTTATCCATCCATAAAGAGCTTTCATTACAGAGACGGTCCTATCTAAGTTACTGTGCCTTGTACCTTCACCCCGTCGCCGCAGCAACGCATATGTAGAGCAGCTAAGTGTATCGACCGCTTGCGGTGTGGGGCATCGGGTGGCCGAGCACTGCAGGGTGCAGGAAAGGGGTGAGAAGAGGACTAGATAGGGATATACAGTGTTGGGGTATGCTTGGCCCAATCTATTAGATGACCAACATCTGGTGTTGACAAGGCATCATCGCTTCTAGTTGTCAACGAATGCAACAACATGGTTGTTAAGTTCATGACATGGTGGATGACAGGTTTGTCCACCTACTTATCCCGCAGACTGTTCCCTCGTTTTCCGAATATTACCAAGTACCAGGTCATTGCAGGCAGACACACAGATTGAAAGCGGGTAGAAGCAATGTACCGGTGACGATCTAGCGTTCTGCACTAAGCAGCCAGACTGAGCGTTTACGTAAAGCAAAACATGCCGCACCACTGAGCTGCAATGGGCTATATCAACAGCCGCGTCGCTTGCCGCGGCAAGCGCCATCGAATACACACCAATTTTGTCGTTCTTCTTGCTTTCCTTATCGTTCTTTTATCTTTTCCTGTGGTGGCTGTACGGGAAGTTTGTGTATGTACAATAAACGATGGTTGATGAACAGCCAGTGAGGGAGTACATATCGACTAACCTTCCCTGGCATCAGAAGCGCAATGTACGTCTGCATCGCTACAAGACCGCCGCCGTGTTTCTGCAATGCTCGAACTAACGTACGCTATTTTGGGTTAAGCGGCATTGGTCGTGCCCAGCGGGAGTAGCTACCGTCGCCGCCGCAGGAACGTACGGAAGCTCTCTCGCTCTAAATAGACTAACTTGCTAACAACAAGTCAGCTGACTATAGGATCAACAGATAAGCGAGCGTAGTTGATAGCCCCACTAGCTGAGCCGGCGCAGGGTACGGATGGTCGGCAAAATACAGGCGCTCCAAACTGCAGCCGACGGTTGAAGGCAACATCGTTTTAGGGGATACAAGGTAAGCCCAAGGCGTGGAGACAGGCGTGGGGTAGAGGGACTGAAGACAACGAGTAGCGATAGTCCATATAAGGGGCTGTTCAGGTAACGTCATACATATTTTGTTGTTCACTGCTCCATCAATTAGGTGCATTGTTGACAGGACCGGCAAACCGTTATAGAGGCAATATTCGAACCAATAGGTATAATAATAGTAGTAGTGGTAATAGTAGCAGGTAACACAATAGCCTGGAGTACTATCTTTGGTAATCCATCGTCTTGACATGCGGTGCTTGAGAGAGTATCATTTCCTTTTACTATTTGGTTGGCTATTTTTCCTTTTACCATTTGGTTGTCTGTAAATATACTTTCTAAAACTGCGTATCAGTAGACGTTTCATTCAGGTCCGTCAGGTGTTCATCTCGTAGCGCCATCGTTTTATAATCGCCAGTTCCGTCTAGTCGTAGCACCGTAGCTTCGACTGTGGTATCTCCAACTATCTGCTGTTACGGAAAAGGATTCCAATATAACGTGTCTAGTTGGCGGGCCTAGG